CGAGGCCGAGTCCCACGTACAGCAACTAGAAGGATGTGAACCTATGACATACAACTATCTACTGGGGCTTTGGGGGGAAAAAACTGAATAAATAAAATCTTTAAAAAAAAAAAAAAAAAAGAGAGAGAGAGACAGTACCTAGCCCATAAACACACTGGTCTTCACATATCCCAGAGACAGTGGGCTGAAGGAATACACAGGGTTGAGCTGCTGACACAGCAGCCAGCACAAATAATGGTGGTTCTTATTGGTGGTGCCTTATCCCAAGTCACTCTAGCCTGTGGGAGGCACTAAGAGGCTTAAAACCCAGACAGGGAAGTGAAGATGGAGAATGAAAAGGAATCAAAAGAGCTAAGAGGAGCAACAAGGAGAGGGCTGGTGGACTGAGAGAGGAAAGTAAAAGGTGTATATGGTGTGGAAGAAAATGTCACCCCTACATGCCCTGGCAGCTCACAACACTGGGTGGCAAATATCAGCCTGTCCCCAGGGCTTCATAAACCTGGCCTACAGAATCACCAAGGGAAGGGGACCAGAAGAGATAACTTCAGCTTGCCTCTTATGACCCTGGCTTGGCCTGCTCTCAAAGGCTGGTGGTGAACTCTATCCGTACACAGGGGACCCACTGCTACTCTCATTAAGCTCCCTGGGAGAGGCCAATCACCCCTCTCACCCCACCCACCCCACAGCCACTTAGCTTGCTCACAACCAACAGGTAGCCTGGCCTACGCTCTCAGGATCTCCTCAGAATGGAAAGAATACACAGGAGGCTCTAAATGAGTCCTCAGGCTCCCTGGCTCTCATGTCCCTAACCCTGGGATCTTAAGGAATTCTAAGGCTGCTGTAGGCTGGCTCAGGGTTTCCCCAAGCTGGCTGCATGTCAGAATCACTGGGAAGCCTTTTAAAGACTTTCCAGACCGCAAGTGGAGTGACTGATTCACTAAATTGGCTGGGCGGTGCCAGGGGCAGGGAACGAGGGGCATTCCAGGGAACTCTAGTTCATTGGCACATTTAAGGACCTCTGCTTTCACTCATGCAGGACTTACCTTCTCAATCTTGTCAGGGTCTGATAGCAGAGCAGCTCCCATTCCTCCCTAAGGAAAAGCATACAGAGAGTCTTCTGACAGCTGGAGGAGGGTGGCCCCTCCCAGTGGTATGGCAGCATGGCGTGGCAACCTGACACCACCCCAGCACTCGCTGCCAAGGGACCAAATCAGCACTTCTCCTAAGCAAGGAGGAAAGCAGCAGCATCTGTGCCCACAATATCAGGTATCAGAGTTTGATGAATTCTAAAAGTCATCCCTCTAATCCCCATTGCAAAACCCATGGATCTATCTAGAAGTGGGTTCTACAAAAATCATTTTTCAGGACTGCCCATTCCATGCCCAGGGTCTTAGTGTCTTAATAAACTCAACCCCACCATCTGCCAAGCCCGTAAAAAAACAATGAATCATTCTTCCTTTGAAATGAGATCAAATGCACTTTCTTCCTGTCCTACTATCACTTGCTTTGATACCACCACTGCTGGCAAAGCCACTCAGAAGCACACAATCTGCAAATCTTGTCCAGGCCCTTCTCCCCTGCCAGCAACAAGGGCCCAGTCCTGAGAACCCAGACCAATGTCTAACAAAAGCCCCAGCTAAT